TGTGGAGGTTATTGGACATTATATTGTGCCACAATAGCGCAATTCGACCTAGTCTATGGAACTCGCTCCCTAGTGAATTGAAAAACTGTAAAACTTTTGCCTTATTTAAAAGCAAAACCAAAAAGTACCTAACTTCATCTATTTAGTTTCCTACACTGAGCTTTAAATTTGCTCTGTACCTAGTGGTACCCAATCTCCTAATTTTTATGTAATATCAAACAACCTTATCATTGTGTTCATTGCTGTCTTCTTTTATGTGCTAGCCATATGCTGTATTGTGACTACCAATTTTTGTCAACTACCATTCAAGCTGTCATTGCAATCAATCTTATATTGTTTCTGCTGTATTGTGCCTACCAATTTGTTGTCAACTACCATTTTAAGCTGTCATTGCAATCAATCATAGCTACCTATGTGCTTTAATATACTGTACCTATAATTTTCTCTCATCTTTTTTTTTTTCATTCCATGTAATCTGTTATCATTTTTTTGTCTATAAATTTTGCAAGTATTTACCTCCTTAAAATTTTCTTAGATTAAGGACCTGCCCGAAACGCTGCGCGTGCTAGTGGCTTTACAAGACTGTAATTACCATAATTGTATCCTCACATTCCTTATGTACATTCTTGTATATGCATAAATAAATAAATAAATAAATAAACAATTGTCGCCATCTTTCCGACTCTTGGTACACGTGAGACAAGTCTCCAATTATCAGGCTAATGCCAGCTGCCCCAGTCTTGGCAAACCAGACATGCCTGCCGAGTTTCCCCTGAAACACATTATAGTCATATTTTGAAGAGTTGAATTATGTCACTGAGCGTTGGCAGGGAAATATGGCCGTCGTTCTCACCCCCGGCTGTAATACAAGGTGTTTATGCTGCAGCTTGACTTGCACTTAGACCGTGGCCTGCGCAACAGTGTCAGTCTTTTGTGCCAGCCATTACCCTGCATGTCTTAGTGGTCAGGATGGGAGTCAACATGGGGGTGGTGATGGGGCTGTAGACAAGTTAAAGCTTTCTCTCCACTCTACCCCTACCCTCTACTTCTCTCCATTCTACCCCTACCCTCTACTTCTCTCCATTCTACCCCCTACCCCCTACTTCTCTCCATTCTACCCCCTACCCTCTACTTCTCTCCATTCTACCCCCTACTTCTCTCCATTCTACCTACCCCTACTTCTCCCTCTACTTCTCTCCATTCTACCCCCTACCCTCTACTTCTCTCCATTCTACCCCATACCCTCAACTTCTCTCCATTCTACCCCTACCCTCTACTTCTCTCCATTCTACCCCTACCCTCTACTTCTCTCCACTCTATCCCTACCCTCTACTCCTCTCCATTCTACCCCCTACCCTCTACTTCTCTCCATTCTACCCCTACCCTCTACTTCTCTCCACTCTACCCCCCCTCACCCTCTACTTCTCTCCCCGTCTACCCCCCCATCACCCTCTACTTCTCTCCCCGTCTACCCCCCCATCACCCTCTACTTCTCTCCCCGTCTACCCCCCCATCACCCTCTACTTCTCTCCCCGTCTACCCCCCCATCACCCTCTACTTCTCTCCCTGTCTACCCCCCCATCACCCTCTACTTCTCTCCCCGTCTACCCCCCCATCACCCTCTACTTCTCTCCCCGTCTACCCCCCCATCACCCTCTACTTCTCTCCCCGTCTACCCCCCCATCACCCTCTACTTCTCTCCCCGTCTACCCCCCCATCACCCTCTACTTCTCTCCCCGTCTACCCCCCATCACCCTCTACTTCTCTCCCCGTCTACCCCCCCATCACCCTCTACTTCTCTCCCCGTCTACCCCCCCATCACCCTCTACTTCTCTCCCCGTCTACCCCCCCATCACCCTCTACTTCTCTCCCCGTCTACCCCCCCCATCACCCTCTACTTCTCTCCCCGTCTACCCCCCCCATCACCCTCTACTTCTCTCCCCGTCTACCCCCCCATCACCCTCTACTTCTCTCCCCGTCTACCCCCCCATCACCCTCTACTTCTCTCCCCGTCACCCTCTACTTCTCTCCCCGTCTACCCCCCCCATCACCCTCTACTACCCCTCTACTTCTCTCCCCGTCACCCTCTACTTCTCTCCCCGTCTACCCCCCCATCACCCTCTACTACCCCTCCACCCCCCCCCTCCATCACCCTCTACTACCCCTCCACCCCCCCCATCACCCTCTACTACCCCTCCACCCCCCCCCATCACCCTCTACTACCCCTCCACCCCCCCCCCCATCACCCTCTACTACCCCTCCACCCCCCCCCCATCACCCTCTACTACCCCTCCACCCCCCCCCCATCACCCTCTACTACCCCTCCACCCCCCCCCATCACCCTCTACTACCCCTCCACCCCCCCCCATCACCCTCTACTACCCCTCCACCCCCCCCCCCCATCACCCTCTACTACCCCTCCACCCCCCCCCATCACCCTCTACTACCCCTCCACCCCCCCTCCATCACCCTCTACTACCCCTCCACCCCCCCTCCATCACCCTCTACTACCCCTCCACCCCCCCCCCCATCTCCTCGGGGACATTAACTGTCACCATATGCTGACACAGTGAAGGAAGGGTTGTAGGGGGGGGGGGGGAGGAAGGAGTAGCCACCCTTCTGCAAGTGGAAGAGTTGACTGCTGGGCCAAGGTTTACCACCACTACTCTCTGGACTATATCTTTAACACATCTCTAACCCTATCCAGGGAGGACAGAAGAAAATGTATATATGCTGGTTAGCAGTGTATATGTGTGGCTACGTCTGTGGTAGAAAATAATTATAATAATAAAGCTACCCTCTGGTAGTTCAACGGGTGAGGCCACTATTGTATACATGCTATACATAAGCTGGGAATTTGTTTGTGCATATACTCAGCATGTGCAAATTCAGATTAAATGCTCCTTGACCCGCAAGAACTCATTGCTAACCCAGCATAATTGAAGTTCCTCATATGGGGGTTTAGGAGGTGGGGTAAGAAACCTACCTGGATCATATGGGGGTTTAGGAGGTGGGGTAAGAAACCTACCTGGATCATATGGGGGTTTAGGAGGTGGGGTAAGAAACCTACCTGGATCATATGAGGGTTTAGGAGGTGGGGTAAGAAACCTACCTGGATCATATGGGGGTTTAGGTGGTAGGTAAAGAAACCTACCTGAATCATATGGGGGTTTAGGTGGTAGGTAAAGAAACCTACCTGAATCATATGGGGGTTTAGGTGGTAGGTAAAGAAACCCCTATGACCTTGAAACTGAACTGATTCCCAAAAGTGAAGAGGTTCTAACATTCAATATGAACCTTCAATAATAAGCTTGAAGTGAGACGAGTGTTCTGTTTGATGTACTGTATTTTAAATTTGAACAATTGCATTTACATGAAAAATATTTCTCCATTTGAATATTGTACACCTTGGCATTATTGATATATGTGCAGTACTTGTCACCATTAAATGAACAAATCCACAAGGGCCATGACGAGGATTCGAACCTGCGTCCGGGAGCATCCCAGACACTGCCTTAATCGACTGAGCAACGACAGGGTAAATCATCAAAGGTTCGAATCCTCGTCACGGCCCTTGTGGATTTGTTCATATGATGCATCACGTTAGTGTGATCTCTGTGTGTGTTGTCACCATTAGTTTCATTGCCACCAATTGAGATGTTTATGATGTAACTTCGGAGATGGTGTTAGATTTTGTTGCTCACAGTGTAAATTGTTGCAGTTTTGGGAGGTGATCAGCGATGAGCATGGCATCGACCCAGTGGGGCAGTTCGTCACTGTGGGTGAAAACAGTGTGATGCAGCTAGAGAGGATTAACGTCTACTACAACGAGGCTTCGGGTATGCTGGAATGATCGGTTATTGTTTTAACTTGAATATCTAAACTGTCATGTAATGTCTATTTGAACTCCAATGCTGCATTAGGTTTCACTTTTGTAATTTCATTTAAATAAAATGTTGACATTGTTCTTGGGTCACTTTGAATGCATGTTACCGAATTGCTTTATGGATTTTTAGCGATATTAACAATATTTATCTCGGACTATCTCGCCAATTAAGTATTAAAATTAATCCCATGTTTATTTGTAACATTCCTGCCCTATTTCCTCTCCCCAGCATTACGATGAAATCATTTGTCTCCACCACTTGCTTAAAGATGCTGTTGATGAATATTATCATTTAAGTAAACGCCCATACAATGAAGACTTAAGGGGAAAATTAAAGTAGGGAGGTAGATTTGTTGTAACTGACTCCGTGGTAATGGTAAATTCAACAAAATTTAGCTGGAGTACAGTAAGAAGCTGCCTTGCAAGATGCGGTTATTGTTATTTTTGGAGATTTTGCGAGAAAATGCTGTAGTGGGATTAGAAATATATATATAAAATAACACAAGACTGGATCAATTGGCGAATAAAATAAATTGGGCAAGACATTTAAAATAGTAATTGACTTGGATTTGTAAAGGTAATGGGGTTGGTAAATAGGTGGGCCTATAACTTTGGAGACAAGAAAATGTATGGAAGTGGGAATTAAATGTACAAATGAGGGTTCAGTAAGAAAGTGCTGGGTGTGTTAAAGGGGCAGAGAAATTTTGAAGGTGTGTAGGAAGGAGTTAGAAGGCTAACTGAAGGGCACACTCTTCAGCTAGTTGTACTGGCCCAGTAAACATAGAGTACTAGGGGCGGGAGTGAGGAGTGCAAATGGTATTGAGGAGCAGGTTTTTTTCAGGCTCGCAACCTTTTTCAGGAGCAGGCTCTGCACCTCAAGTGGTATAGAGAAGCAGAGCATTTGTGCTCCCCATCCTTAACCTGGCAATGAGAGAAAAAGGCGCTGTTAGGGATAGGAGGCTGGGTGTTTCGTGGCAAGATGGCAGTGGAGTGACTGGTGGGCAAGCAGGGAAAAGGAAGGCAGAGGGCTCTTGCATGCACTTGAGTACCCACAATGCATGCGAGGTAACAAACCCTGCCCCTAATGTAGCCAAACAGCAGAAACATGCATTGCACTACTCATAAAAGGTGCTCTCTCTCAAACATGCTTGGAACATCACATGGTCCTGCAGGCACTTATTTTATCTAGGTCCATATGAAAGGCATGAGAATCATCTAGGTTTCGTATCTTATTTAGTAGCTTAACATCATCAGCAATCATGTTCATATAATTCTGTATTCCTTTTGGTCGATCATTTATGTAGACAATGAACATTACTGGTGTAAGAACTGAACCCTGTGGTACTCCGCTAGTAACTTTCCTAATTACTGCCCTCATCTGCCAGTTGGAACACTGTTCATCCATGTCAGCAGTCTCCCTGTCACCCCTCCAGCATGTTGCAGTTTCCAAAACACTCTTGTGTGGGACACACTCAAAAGCATTTTTTTTAGGTCCTGATACATCGTCAACCCAGCGATCTCTCCAATATGTAGAATGAATCTGTGGCTGTATCGTAAAAAATTAATTATCCAAGTGTAAAATTACAGTACAGTACCCAAGTTTAATTATCCGAGTGTAGTTACAGGATGAGCTATGCTCGTGGTGTTCCGTCTTCCCAGCACTGTCATATAAGACTTTAAAACTACTGACGGTTTTGGCTGCCACCACCACCTCGCTTGTTCTGTTTGCCACTCTTTGCAAAAAGTTATTTTCATATTTCTCCGGTAACTTTGATTAGTTATGGGAGTTTAAATCCATGACCTCTTGTTCTTGAAGTTCTAGGTCTCTGGAATTCTTCCCTATTAATTTTATAGATTCCCATTCCTATTTTGTACATATCACCTTCCCCCCCCCCATCTTCTAGTTTGGCATATTTATTGCCACTAACACCTCCTCATAGCTCTTTTGTCTTTCAGTGTGTTTGTGTAATTACAGGATGTGTAGTTATAGGATGAGAGTTACACTTTTGGGGTCCCATCTTCACTTTACAGTACCGTCATATAACGCTTTGAAACTACTGATGGTTTTGGCCTACAACTTTCTCACTTAACTTGTTCCAACCATCTACCACTCTGTTTGCAGAAGAAAAATGTCAATTTTTTTCTGCACTTTTGTATCCTTAGCTTGAATCTGTGTTCTTGTTCTGAAAGTTGCTGATGTGTGTTTGTGCTCACGCTCGTGTATTCCAATAATTGTCGGTAAATCTCGGTATACTTGTCTAGTGGCAGCGTGTCTTCACCTGCTGCCATTTCATTTGTCTATTTTTCTTTTGCATCATTAACTTGACAACTTTTTAGTGTGTTTATAAAGGATGCATGCCTGAAAATAGGAGTTTAGGTTTTATTGGCCAATAGGTCTACTGCAGATTTTTTGCCACTATTACATTATTGTTTTTATTGATCTTGTTTTGCAGGGGGCCGCTACGTACCTCGAGCAGTGCTTGTGGACCTTGAACCGGGGACAATGGAAGCGGTTAGGTCTGGGCCTATGGGCAAGATCTTCAGACCTGATAATTTCGTCTTTGGTCAAAGTGGAGCTGGTAGGTGCTCAGTAGTTACCATCATGAACAGATTTTCAGTAAATCTTTAACATTGTGGCTGTGACCAGATTTTGTGTAAAAAAAAGTTGCTTTGCTCCAGTTAAGATGCTACTGTACCGAATAATGTGTGCAGAGATTATTACTTAAAGTTGGTGCCATTGAGCTGGGGATGATGTCCACTTGACTATCACTACCACAGTTTTTCTCTCCCTTACTGTCTTCCTATTTGCTTAAATTGGTAGTTATGAAATTTATAAGACTTAGAGGAAGTATGAAGTTTGTGGCATGGATCTTGCACCACTACTTTTTCTCATTCCTGTTCACATGTCAGACACTGAAAAAGTCACAGCTTGTCATTTTTAGCAGATACAAAAATCAGCATGAAATGTATCTATGTAGAAGACACTGATAAACAAGCAGTTAATATCAATAATGTCATCGACTAGGCAACAGGCAACAGAAAATAACGTGATTTAAAGTTATAAATTCCAGATAATTAGACATGGTAAAAATGAACTTGAGGATAAGAGGGAACAATACACAAATCATATAAAAAGGCAAACAATATGTAAAGGAACTGGGAATGACAGCTGACCTAACATTTAGTGAGCACAAAGTGAACATAGCATCACTCAGGAAAATGAAAAGATGGATTATGGGAACTGACAAATTCTGAGCTTCCATCACAATGTTCTTGCTATTCAAATCGCTTGTGCTTTCCTGCCTCAAGTGCTGCTCGGTACCTACTTTCCCTTTCAAAGAAGGGGATTTCCGAAACTGAGAGAATACAGGGAATTTGTACTTTGTTCCTGCTATGGCCTCATTACTGGTAACTTGTCCTGTTATGCTCTAGACGACATCATTGGTTCATGTCACTCCTTGAGACAGCATCATACAGCATTCACAGTTGAGAGGCGGGACCAAAGAGCCAGAGCTCAACCCCCGCAAGCATAAATAGGCGAGTACAGTGGCCAGCTGGAATCGTCACCCATTGTCTTAGGTCACGCATATCTAAACTTTCTTAAATGTACTGCTTTCAGTTGACGTTTAGTGTGCTTTGAAGTGAAAGGTATCTTGAATATGGGAGGTATAAAACAGACAATTTAGAGTACGTCACTGCTACAAAATAAAGTTGGAGCCCTCCTAGGTGCTGTGAGTTGCCAGTGAACATATCAGATGTACAGTCTCAGCATGTTTTAGAGCCTGTGCTCTAAATTGTTTTACACCTCCCATATTCAAGAAAATTCACCTCCCATTTTGACAAATTATTCAAATGCGGTTTTAGCCTGATAACCCAAATTATTGGTTCAGTAGTCTTTGGATAACCAAGCTCATACAGCAATTTAAAAATGTTCTGTATATTTCCCAGATTTTTTCTCAAATCATCCGAGAGTTGTTTGTTGACTTAAATTTTTAGCTTGAGCTCAACACATCCACTAACCCCTGCACTGCTCACCTGGTTTCGGCAAAAACATCTTGGTGCAATTGTTAAGGACATATTTTTGTCGTTTTTATAAATATTAAGGTAAAGTTAATGTCAAAATGTTTCCAAACTCAACTATTTTCATTTCAAAACACAGAGTAATGAAAACATTAAAAAACATTAACACTTTCGCACACCCCGCGCGCCACCCCTCAACTGTGCGATATGGTACCCAGGGTGTCACGGGAGTGCGCGTAAATTCTGAAAAGTGTATACTCTCTTCAACTTTGTCACCTTAATTCTCGTCCTACGAGATTAAATTTTGTATCATTGTGATCGCAATAGAATTCTCTACAGCACTAAATGCATATAAACTCCAAAAGCCCGGCTAATTACCCGCAGCAAACAAAGAAAGTGCAAACGAGTTACCCAGGAGCGTGCAAACGCGATAAAATGTTTTCACTATTTTCACTCTGGTCACCTCAATTTTCGTCCTAGGTCTTTCATTTTGGTCTCAATGGGTTCGCAATAGAATTCTCTAGAGGAACATTAGCATATAAAATAAAAAACCTGGTCACGCTCCAACCGCCGACGAGTTGAGGACGGGCCACGCGTTAACCGCGAGTGAGCGCTCAGACGCCTTCCAGTTACACTCCCAATTCCCGCCCTTTTCAAGCCTTTCTTTCGCAATTTTCTTCCTGGAAGGGCCTTGTTCATGATCACTATCCATCGTGGAGTAAGCGTAGATAATTTCTAAAGCCGCAGTAAGAAATATAGCCACGGAAAATAGCCGAGATGTTCACACGTTTGAGATGGTAGGGGAGGCAACATTGGTCACAACAGTGGAGCGAAAACAATGGGCCCACGGCGTGTGCCAAGCCGCCTGAGGGCCACGAGGCTCAACAAAGAAAATGGGAAGACATCGGCGCGCATTTTAAAACCAGTCCCCAAAAAATCTGATAAAACCTGATTTTTGGCGATTATTTAAAGTGGATGATGCAATGCTGCGTCATCCCCGGCATTACCGACAGTAAACGGATGACGCAATGCTGCGTCATGCCCGGGCGAAAGTGTTAAAATATAGCCTAATTAAAAAAAAATTGCACAACTCTCGGAGCGCCTAAAGGCGCTTTGCACAGTGCAGTGGCTAGAAAAGAAAATATTAATATTTTCCCTTTATTATAATGGGTTAGAAACATGCACAAATGTAGTGTACAGTTCATTATATAAGGAGGTAAATCCTTGTAGGTGTCTTGTGTATAATGTTACACCTGTGAAGGCTAGCCATGTGTAGTGAACGTGTTTCCTGCTTTATAACCTTTACTTTCTTTGTCATTGTAGGCAACAACTGGGCCAAAGGTCATTATACAGAAGGAGCTGAATTGGTGGACTCTGTTATGGACGTGATGAGAAAGGAGGCAGAGAACTGTGACTGTCTACAGGGCTTCCAGTTGACTCACTCGCTGGGTGGTGGAACAGGCTCTGGGATGGGTACACTTCTCATATCAAAAATCCGTGAAGAATATCCCGACAGGATTATGAACACGTTTTCTGTTATCCCTAGTCCAAAAGTAAGTTACACTTTTTAGCGAGCTGACTTGCTAAATTGTTTTCTTCTATGCATAATAAACGGGGAAATCACACTAACGTGAAGTATCGGTGGGAAAATCTGTAGGAGCTATGATAAGGATTTTTACCTATGTGGTGGGTATTCCCACGCACACATCTTGGACAACTAGGCCTAGTTGTCCAAGGTGTGTGCCTGGGAATATCCACCGTATAGGTTCAAATCCTCGTCACAGCTTCCATGGATTTTCTCATTTTCTTTTGTCTGCTATCCAGCCTTTAGTTTTTAATATTAAACACTGTACCCTGTACTGACATACAAAAATAATTAAATGGTGCACTTATCTTTATTCGTGTGTAATTTATTTGTTTCTCCATTGAGGTGTCTGATACAGTTGTGGAGCCGTACAACGCCACCCTCTCTGTGCACCAACTGGTAGAGAACACCGACGAAACCTTCTGCATCGATAACGAAGCGCTCTATGATATCTGCTTCAGAACACTCAAGCTCACGTCTCCCTCTTATGGTGATCTCAACCACCTAGTCTCGGTAAGGAGAACACTCGACTCTTGTTAGGAATTATGTGAATAATAAATTGCTGTAAATTTTAAAGTTGCATTAAATAAGCACCAAATGATTAATAATTCATTCTCTTTATAATGCTAAAAGTTAAGAGATTTGATTGTTTAAAGACATATTTAGTAATTATTGGATTTACTGTGGAACTTATGTATTCATCAGATTCGATATTTATCACGTTTTGACGGCAAATACAATATTTCCATATTCGTGAGGACATGGGAGTTGTGTGTCTCATACCTTCGGTGTGAGACACACACCAAAGTTATACCAAAGTCAGCATGTATTTTGTCAGATACCAGACCACACAACCACCATGCAACCTTTTACAGCACCTCCAGAGAGTAAAAGATGTTAAATATTCACTTAGGTTTTTCTTAAATTTTGCATACAATGTTTCTTTTTGTTTATATTACCACGCATAGGTTGGTATGGCCATTCTACCACTGCTGCTGAAAAAGGGTTAAGATACATAGGGTAAAAATGGCAGTACATGCCGAATTGTTTAACTTCTTAAGGTTGGGGTGCAATGGGTCGGTATTTTTTTCAGACCACACAGTACAGTATAAAGGCAATGTCAAGAATTTAGTTTGGGAAGAAGTTAGGTGCAAGCTGTTATGTCATTTGTGCACAATAGTTATGGTGTGACTTTGCCTCTTGCTTGGTTGTATTTCTCCAGACATTATAATGAATATTCTTGAGTTATTTGTTATACATTGTGCATTGTTTACCTTTGTGGCTGCTAAGTTAGGTAATTTTTGCTTATTGTTGCATGTTGCTTGAGATACTTAAGGGCAAGTGTTGCCTTCAGTGGTGTAATGCCGTTACTCTTGGCCAGGTGACCATGTCTGGTGTTACAACATGTCTGAGGTTTCCCGGCCAGTTGAATGCAGATCTGCGCAAGCTTGCGGTCAACATGGTCCCCTTCCCTCGCCTCCACTTCTTTATGCCAGGATTTGCTCCTCTCACTTCCAGAGGGTAGGTTGTATTTGTGTTGATTATTCTCTTGTACTGTTAAACAGTACGTGATATGCTTTCAGGAATACCATGTCAATATTATTATTAATAGACCTAAGTAGCAATTATTACAATAATAATTTAAAAGAAAATCCTAAAGTAAACATGAGATTTAGGGTGTGAAGTAGGGATTATGGGTGTTAGTGGTTAGGTAGTGTAATACCTGGGCTTTGTAAGTGATAGTAATTGTATCATAAAAGTTGAGAATAGAGTAAGTCGGGGAAGAAAGGCGACAGGTGCACATAAGAGTTCTAGTTGAGAATAATAAGATAAGGAAAGAAGACCAGCCTGAAGGACTGGCGTGCCTACTTTTATGCACGCGTGAAAGATTCCTGTGACATCTGCATGAAAAATTATCTGCATGTATCAGAGTCACTGTTCTCCCCAGTGGCCTCGATGGGGACAGGAATCGGGTGGCTTGTCAAAGGTTATCCGCCCCCCCCCCCCCCACATTGTTCCAGAGGGTTTTCTACAGCTAAATTGTGAACTAAAGTACTGTAATGTCTTGGTATTTACAACTTTGACAGGTAGGCAGTTCCATGGGTTTGAAACATTATAGGTAAATAATAATTTTCAGTTTTCTGTCCTACTTACCTATCAGTGACTGGAGAAGTGAGGTCTAGACTTTTATGCCTCACTTACTAACCTTGTTGTACCTGTTGTATTTAAGCTTTACTATTCTAATGTTCAAAGTCTTTACTGAACATCTCCTTAAAGTTGTGGATGGAGGTGGCTTCCACAACTTCAGTGCACTCCACTTGTAGACCACCTGTACAGGGTACCAATATTTCCTTACATTTCTTAGTTTTGTTGCCAGCTATGATATATAGATATAGAGGAAGTATGTTAACATACTTCCTCTATATCTTCTGTCCAAGGTTATGAGGTCCACACTTTAACCCTCTGAGCTCTGGCACTAATCTAGTTGCAAACCTCTGCCTTTTTCAGTTTTATTTGTGGCTTGTTGAGCTTGAAGCTGTTGCCCCGTGTATGCATTACATTTGACCTCGAAGTGGTCTAGATTAATATCCTCCAACTTCTCAAGTATTTTAAAAGTTTGATGACACCAGCCCTGTTATGTCTTGTTTGTATTATTAGTCCTGTGGCCCTCAACTGTTCCTGGTGTGAGTTGACTAGTTCTGGGATGGTTATTGTTGCTGTGATACATCACTTTTGAATGAGCGGTTTCTGTGCTTGAATGCCGTTGTCCAGATGTGGGTTCACCAGAGACTCGTACAGTTGAATCACAGCTTTCGCTTTCTTTTCCTTGAAGTCAAAGGTTTGGTTCGATTTCCTAGGGTTTGATTGGCTTCTCCTTGCTGCAGCTCCCACTTGCTGTGAAAATTTCAATGACTGGTGGATTCTAACTCTTGAGTACTTTTCTTCATCAACCAGCTGCAGGGTGGTGTTTTGATAAATGTGATGTGTATTGTGAAGAGCAAGGGTGCCATACACACAATCAGAGAACACTATGTACACATCAGAGGTCATGGATGTTCAACGTACTCCCAGCGAGCATAAGAAATATTGCTGGAACAACCGTGAACATCTTCAAGAGAAAACTAGATCATTTTCTCCAAGGAGTGCTGGACCAACCAGGCTGTGGTGGATATGTGGGCCTGCAAGCTGCTCCATGCAACAGCCTAGTGGACCAAGCTCTGACAAGTCAAGCCTGGCCTCGGGCCAGGCTTGGGGAGTAGTACAACTCCCAGAACCCCATCCAGCAGGTATCAATCAAGCAGATATTATGCTCTACATTACATGCAAGATCATACGTTTTTCAGTTTGCCAATCTTCTCACCATTTACGGAGTTGTTTGTAAAGCCTCTTTGTAAAGCCTCGATACAATTTTTACTTCTTATTTTACCATAGATGTTAGTCATCTGGTAATTTGATAATGCAGTTCGTAATATACTAAAGTCATTTTTGTACGTGACGTAGAAGATTGTCACAAGCTGGAACTTTGCAGCATTCCACTCGCCACATTTTTTCCAGTCTGGTTAATTTCCATTTAGGATGACACTGTTTCCTTTTTAACTATAGTTTTGTCCATTCTAGTATTTTACCATTTATTCCATGTTCTTCTAATTTCCTTGCCAGTCAGTGAGGGGTAAAGAAATGGAATGAGCTTACAACCAGTAGTGGTGGACATGGCCACCATTCACGGTTTGAATAGCAAGTATAACAAAAATCTGAAATGTTGGGATACACGAGTGTTGATGGTATAATGCTGTAGCTGTGACGGAGGAGGGGAACTAGAACTAGATCATGCTGCCTGAAGACACAGCAGCTGTGACGGAGGAGGGGAATTAGAACTAGATCATGCTGCCTGAAGACACAGCTGCTGTGACGGAGGAGGGGAATTAGAACTAGATCATGCTGCCTGAAGACACAGTAGCTGTGACGGAGGAGGGGAATTAGAACTAGATCATGCTGCCTGAAGACACAGCTGCAGGCTGTCTGCATCCAATCACCCAGTCCGTCGTCCTAAGTTTTCCCAACGTCAAGAAAACGGTCAATTTAAAGTGTCCTTTTCTAACCTACCAGAGGATTCAAAACAGAAAATGGGACAGTACGTCACTTTTGTGAGCCGCTTCCAGTATCTAGTACAAAAATTTTTGCCTTGTGTAATGCATACAATGGAAATGCGACGTTCTTTGTAGGAGGTCAGGTTGAATTGCCCACTGTGCTTCTCAAGTCCTTCATTTTTAGAGATATGCTTCTTTTCTACTTTTTTTTCTTTCCTACACTTACCCAGCAGCTGCTCCTTGCTGAACAGCTTTCAGTGGCTGATGGACTAGAGGTGTGATGCTCTTTAAATATGTTGGAAAGTGTCTTGTAGTATGGTGGTCACTGTTGTTGGCTCACAACTACAGGCATACCTCAGTTTAAGATTCAGATTCAGATTCAGATGTTTATTCAGGTAAGGTATATACATACAAGTGATGTTACATTAATGGATTGATATATAGATAGAGCTAGTACATACAATGCCTAAAGCCACTATTACGCAATGCGTTTCGGGCAAAGAGTTTAATTGGTTCCTGGAGACGCCTCGTATTCCGAAAACTCGCATTCCGAAGCTAATTTCCCCATAAGAAATAAAGGGAAATGAATTAATCCGTTCCTGACTACCCCAAAAACCCCACATCAAACTAAATTTTTATACCTAATTCATCTAAATAAACCTACAAAACTATGTTCAAGTTATTACTTACCTTGCTGTTGAATGCTGTAGGCGTATGGAAGATGGTGAGGAGGTGGGAGGAAGAGAGGAGTTACTGTTTGGAAGAGGAGTCCCCTTCCATTATCACATCAGGCAGTGAGGACTTCACTGGTATGCACTCTGGCACATTTTGCCTGCATACCACTAGGACTTGCTTGTTTTACTAACAATTTATCTAATGACACTTGTTTTTCCCTACATTTTAACACTTGTCTGTAGTAAGACATCACATTATCATTTAAAAGGTCAATGCAACGGCCTGCTACAGCTTTATCTGGGTGAGTTTTTTCAACAAAACTTTGCAGTTCTTCCCATACTTCACACATTTTCTTAATCAAGAAGGGACATCCTCTACTCACAGCTATTTTCTTAGGTTGAACCTTACCAAGGGCTTTCTTGAGACCCATGGCAAGATATATAATGACAACTTTTATGCTCAAATGGCCAAAAAAACGATAAAAAACTGTAAATCCTTGTGAAGAATTCAGGTGGGATAGTCACTGGACACGAGACACTGGTAAACTGAGGCACGATCGCCATGCCACCACGCGCCAGTCGGCCTGTACACGTATCAACAAACTCGCGTCCCGAGGTAACCCTCGCCTTCCGAGACATATTTTTGGAGTAAATCCTGCTCGTCTTCCGAAAAACTCGCATACAGGGACACTCGCATTCCAAGGTACCACTGTATATGGTTCCGGGTTAAATTTCCACATACTGTAGGTGGAATATTTTTGGCACGTTGCACTTGAATCACCTGTTCTCCTAGCAGTGAATAGGCACCTGAAAGTTGGACAGTGTTGTCCAGTTGATCCTGAGGAGAGTCGGTTGTTTCTTAGGGATCTCGATAAGCCTTGCAGGCTTCCTTTCCCTGCCAATGTAAAAACCATATCTTGTAATAAATAAACTCTTAGCAAAACTGTTTATGTATGTGTTCCATTTTTTACTATAATAATTTTGTTGTCAACAGGTCGCAGAGTTACAGAGCTCTATCAGTTCCCGAGTTGACACAACAGATGTTTGACAGCAAGAACATGATGACTGCGTGTGATCCTCGTCATGGTCGCTATCTCACTGTTGCTGCCATCTTCAGAGGAAAGATGTCTATGAAAGAAGTAGATGAACAGATGTTAGCAGTCCAGAACAAAAATTCCAGGTAGGGTGTAAAAATCCAAAGGTTTGATGCTTCATATAAGGTCAAGAAAGGTTGACTGTTGGCTGGGTTCTCGCAGTAAACCTGGCTTGGGGGGGGGAACCTTTCCTCGTGTGACTGCTGCCATAATGACTGTTAAACCTCCTGTCCTCGAGTATCTGCTTAGTATAATAATAATAATAATAATAATTTTTATTTAGGCAAAGGTACATACATAAAGAGATTTTACAAAGTTTGTTGGCTTTATAGATAGGAGCTAGTACATACAATGCCTAAAGCCACTATTACGCAAAGCGTTTCGGGCAGGATGTCATTGTAGTGATGTCATTTATTTAAACAAGCACAAGTGTAGAAAAAGTAATATAAGACAAATTAGACTGGTCACAGTTTAGTTTTTAATATTGTAATATTTTGAATTTTTGTTAACCATTCAAAGAGATTTTTTGTTTATAAGTTTGAGTTTATTGTTGCTTGTGAATAATGGCATTAGAAGTAGTGAATGAAGGCATTAGTAGTCAGAAGATGGGGGTGGCATAATAGTGGGTTACTATGACGGTAATCTGTACAATTAATAGCATTCATCATTAACCAAAAATAATAAATTTTTTACTTGGTAAAAAATGTCTTGGTTGGGATATGGATGCCTTTACACACAGAAATCACAATAGCGTGATGCATCAAATGAACAAATCCACAAGAGCCGTGACTTTTACCATTCTTTTACCATGTCGTAGCTCAGTTGATTAAGACACCGTCTGGGATCCTCTCGGTCGTAGGTTCAAACCCTCGTCACCGCCCTTGTGAATTTGTTCATTTTATGGATGCAATGTTTGTTCAGACTAAATTGTTAACTATTTTAAATTCCTCTTCCTACTGGATTTAAACAGTTAAAATATGAATATGTGAATGTTTAAGTAATTGAGTAAAGTTTTCTATGGAGAATTCCGCAGTGTTTATTGACACTTGACTTGCAATGCTTGGTACTTGATTGACGCCGATCTTAAGGCTGCAATTGTTTAGTGTAACCCAATGGCATTTGTTAAAATTTTTGGCATTGCATTTAAAATGTTCTTCTTAGCCCATTGGTCAGTCTCCAGAAAGACACCCCTCTCCCTCATCCCTCTTGACCATTCCCACCCACGTCCACCTCCCTTACCACCGCTCCCATCCGCGTCCGCCTGCCTTAACCATTCCTGCCCGCGACCGCCTCCCTAATCGCCATTCCTGCATGCGACCACCTCCCTTACTACCATTCCTTCCTGTGACCGCCTCCCTTTACCACCATTCCTGCCCGAGCCCCCCCCTTCCTTACCACCATTCCCCAAGTGGTAGCATCTTGAACATGGTAGACCAGCATTTCTAAGGATAATTTTTCTAATTCTTATTTTGAAATAAATCTAATTTTTAATGTAATATTTGAGATCAGGCTATTTTAAGATGCCAATAGTTTGTGGTATTTGTACTTGTGTAGTGTGCGTAAGGGTATGCAGTATTTTCAGCTCCTTCCATATATTGACCAATTGGCCCAACCACTTGGGCTGGTCGGTAGAGCGATGGTCTCGGCTCAAGCAGGTCGCGTTCAATCCCTGACTGTCCAAGTGGTTGGACACCATTCCTTTATCCTGATCCTACCCAAGTGCTATATAGTCATAATGGCTTGGTGCTTTTCCCTGATAATTCTCCCTCCTATGAACTTCTAAAATATTGCTGTTGATATTTTTCTCCAAAAGTTGCCTTGAACATGTAATTCTGTTTCAGCTATTTTGTGGAGTGGATTCCAAACAATGTGAAGGTTGCTGTATGTGATATTCCACCCAAGGGCCTGAAGATGTCTTCCACATTCATTGGTAATTCTACCGCGATACAAGAGATCTTTAAGGCAAGTTGTGTACAGTAAATATTTGTATGTATAGCCACTTTTAGACAAACAAAATACTCGTATTTTTAAGTGGCTTGTGCTTTTGTTTTTGACAATTAATGCAGTATTTGGTAAATAAATAAAATGGAAATGGTGCCATTTAGAATGGTTAACAATTGTTACTTTAGGTCCATTTTGAGGTGTGGACAAGACTGTTGCATAATCTAGCTTAGGTCTCATTTGTGCCATGAACAATGCTTGAAACATTTCTTCATCTATTGGGTTTTGAGGGAATTCTGAAATTATAAACTGTAGGATGTGAACCTCTGACAACAACTTACTATGGAGATCACCTCGGTCTCCTTGCAACAATTTTGAATAATTTTTGCACAGTTTAAAGGCTGAAGGTGTACTTTCATGAACATTGTGGCACTTATCTAAATTGAATTCCACAAACTGATCTCTTGCCTCTGCTCAGTTATCCCTGTTTGTTGATTGCCAGATCCTAAACTTTCCTCGCATTATAAACTCTCAAAAGTTTTTCTATGGAAAATGTGCAATAATAATCTACAAAATTACACTCGGTGTTACATTGTAAGACAGTAGAGTTTTGCTGGGTATCCAGTTGTATAGTTTTGCTGGGTATCCAGTTGTATAGTTTTGCTGGGTATCCAGTTGTATAGTTTTGCTGGGTATCCAGTTGTATAGTTTTGCTGGGTATCCAGTTGTATAGTTTTGCTGGGTATCCAGTTGTATAGTTTTGCTGGGTATCCAGTTGTATAGTTTTGCTGGGTATCCAGTTGTATAGTTTTGCTGGGTATCCAGTTGTATAGTTTTGCTGGGTATCCAGTTGTATAGTTTTGCTGGGTATCCAGTTGTATAGTTTTGCTGGGTATCCAGTTGTATAGTTTTGCTGGGTATCCAGTTGTATAGTTTTGCTGGGTATCCAGTTGTATAGTTTTGCTGGGTATCCAGTTGTATAGTTTTGCTGGGTATCCAGTTGTATAGTTTTGCTGGGTATCCAGTTGTATAGTTTTGCTGGGTATCCAGTTGTATAGTTTTGCTGGGTATCCAGTTGTATAGTTTTGCTGGGTATCCAGTTGTATAGTTTTGCTGGGTATCCAGTTGTATAGTTTTGCTGGGTATCCAGTTGTATAGTTTTGCTGGGTATCCAGTTGTATAGTTTTGCTGGGTATCCAGTTGTATAGTTTTCCTACAATGTCTGGCATTGGTCACAGCTTAAATTGCCATTCATTCCTGTCTTATCGACTTGGAATTCAATTAAATTCTTATATTCAAATGCAGTTGGCAACTGTTAAACATAGGTACTTCAAAATAAATTGTTATAAAGTGTGACCTTTTGTCCTGAAACCAAAATTAGTGTATATACCTATAACGTGCGACATAATCTGGAAGAGCATTGACAAACAAAAAGATTCAAAAGCCCCAGGTGTGGACTAAATTCAATCCAAAGTTGTAAAGGAACTGGCAAATGAACTATGCCTACCATTGAAGCACCTTTTCAGAAAAAAAAAGAAGTCTCTGTGGTGTAGTGGTAAGACACTCGCCTGGCGTTCCGTGAGCGCTTTGTCATGGATTCGTATCCTGGCCAGGGAGGATTTACTGGGTGCAAATCCTTAACTGTAGCCTCTGTTTAACTCAACAGTAAAATGTGTACTTGGTTGTAACAACGATTCTTCGTGGCGGGGATCGTATTCCAGGGACCTGCCCAAAACGCTACGTGTACTAGTGGCTGTACTAGAATGTAACAACTCTTGTATACATTAAAAAAAAAATCTTTGGAGGGATAGTTCTCCTAGATTGGAAATGTGCAAATGTTGCCAATATTTTCAAGAAAGGCAGAAAACTACCGTCCGATCAGCTTGACATCACTCGTCTGCAAGCTCCTGGAGAGAATCCTAAGGGAGGGAAGGGAATTATTCACCATCTTTCAGTAAACAATCATATAAAATCAACACAACATGGGTTTGTTAAAAATAGATCCTGCCTTACAAACCTGCTCACATTTTTGGAAATGATAACCAGCTATTCAGACAAAGGACTTTCGGTAGATGTAGTTTCACGGACTTTGCTAAAGCTTTTGACAAGGTATCACATGAAAGACTAACAAGGAAATTACAGCCACACGGAATAAATGGGGAGAATACTGGAATGGATAAAACAATGGTTAAAACAAAGAAAACAAGGAGTCTTGCTAAATGGGAATTAATCTGACTGGAGAAATGTGATAAGTGGGGGTGCCACAGAGGTCCATTTTGGGGCCAACCATTTTTGTCATATACATAGTGACATAGATGAGAATATTACAAACCACACTATTAAATTTGCAGATGACACGTTAAGATTTATGGTAAAGTGGGAAGTGAAAATGAGACTCTTACAAAGAGGTTCTATCTACATGAACTGCACAACAAGCAGAAGACTGGCAAATGCTTTTTAATATTGATACTGTAAATGCAAGACATTGAGTGGGGGGCAAAACAATCCACGTCACAACTACCAAATTAACAGCATTACCTTGCAGCAGATTGATGAAAAAAAGACCTTGGAGTTAAAATCTATTATTCACTGAAAGTCGCAGAAGTGGGAGCGGCAGTCAAAATAGTATCCAAACCCTAGGAATAATCGAGCGTACCTTTGACTTTAAGGAAAAGGGGGTCAGTCATTTAATTGGTAAAGTGGCGAAATTGGAGTTTCCCGCTTTATTATTAAGAAGGTACATTGGGTTTATGAGAGCATATAGCATTGATGTTTTTACATTTTTGCAAAGTCACTAACATGCATAGCATTTTGGCAGGTCCTTAATCTAACAGATAATTTTAAGTAATTTGTAGCAAAATTTGAAGAATATTAACAGGTACATTGTAAGAAAGTTTGTGTTGAACATAATGACCATGATACAAGGGTGAAGTTGCCTTGCTTAGGCACATATATTGGGGGAGTGGATAGCACAAGATACAGTGTGAGTTTGAAGCACTTTATCATAAAGTGGGAAATGATGATATTGGAGCTTTAGACAGATCTTCATACACTCCACAAGTGGTCCGGGCAAGTGCTTTTTAATATCGACAAATGCAAGACCTTGCATGTTGGGCATAAAGAGCCATGCCACAACTGCTAAATCAATGCCTTACATTACAGCAGAGGGATAAAAAAAGGACCTTGAAGTCAGGATCCACCATTCACTGAAAGTTAAATGCACAACAGGTAGGAGCAGCAGTAAGAAAAGCTGACCAAACCCTTTGAACAATCAAGTGTACCTTTTATGTTAAGGAAAAGAAGGCAGCGATTCAACTTTATAATTCACAGGTGCGCCCCCATTTGGATTACTGTATCCGTGCATGGAGACCTCGTCTTCAGGAGGATATAGCTGCTCTGGAGAAAGTGCAACACCGGGCAACAAAAATCATTCCGAAGCCGAGTCGTCTCTCGTATCAGGAATGGTAGTGCCACACAACTAATGCTACAAACCAGGCATAACAGGGCAGATCTCCTTGAAACTTTTAAAATACTGAACAAGTTGGAGGATGTTGATCCTGACAATTTCTTACAAAAGGTCAGATGTAACACAAACAAGGAGCAATGGTGTCAAGCTCAACAAGTCGGTGTTGGACAGAGAACAAGACGCGCTTTTTAACCCACAGGGTTATAAGCCCATGGAATGACCTATCCACTGAAGCTGTAAATGCCAAAACTTAAATTTTTAAAACATAACTGGGAAAAGATCATCAGAGCAAGTGGGGAGGCGGGTGAACCTTTGACAAGCTGCTCACTTCCTGTCTTCGTTGAGGCTACTAGTGTTAGTGGCCCCCGGGTAAATTCGGATAAAAATAGCGAGGGACCTGAACTGAAGCAGCAATGTACTTTTGATGCTGGCTTGGTAAACTGATCATGCTGTAAACACTGTTACTCAAGCTTCTTGTACAATATGCCCCTCGCGGTCACCTGTCCCTCGATAGAATTCTTGGTGACTCGGATACTTTTGATATCGTTCGCCTTATGCGTTTTTGTTCTCGTATTGGCATCCTTGGTGATATTTAGCGCCCTCTGATTATTTTGCGTATTTGATGGTGCTACATAGCCTTCCCGGTTTGGTGCCTTCTTTTGATAATTACTTACTTACTTCTTGTACAATACTTGATTGCCACTCTTCAATTAATCTTTAAAGAATTCTGATAAAGAAAGAGATCTAGGGGTGGTTCTAGATAGTTTTCTATCACCTGAGGACCACACAAAGAATATTGTGCGAGGAGCCTATGCCACGCTTTCTAACTTCAGAATTGCTTTTAAATACATGGATGGCGATATACTAAAGAAATTGTTCACAACTTTTGTTAGACCAAAGCTAGAATATGCAGCGGTTGTGTGGTGCCCATATCTTAAGAAGCACATCAACAAACTGGAAAAGGTGCAAAGACATGCTACTAAGTGGCTCCCAGAACTGAAGGGCAAGAGCTACGAGGAGAGGTTAGAGGCATTAAATATGCCAAAACTAGAAGACAGAAGAAAGAGGTGATATGATCACTACATACAAAATAGTAACAGGAATTGATAAAATCAATAGGGAAGATTTCCCGAGACCTGGAACTTTAAGAACAAGAGGTCATAGATATAAACCTAGCTAAACACAGATGCCGAAGAAATATAAGAAAATTCACTTTCGCAAACAGAGTGGTAGACGGTTGGAACAAGTTGAGTGAGAAGGTAGTGGAAGCCAAGACCGTCAGTAGTTTCAAAGCGTTATATGACAGAGTGCTGGGAAGACGGGACACCACGAGTGTAGCTCTCATCCTGTAACTACAGTACACTTAGGTAATTACCATGTTGGTATGTTTTGTCTAGAAATCCTAGACAACATATCAACATGGTGTATTTAACTAGCTAGGAATACCAAATTCTCTTACGTCTGGCAGATACTAAAATGCTTGCCATTTTCGATTTGAAGTGTAAATTATCAACATTTACTTTTAACAGATGCAAATACTCCTTTCTTACCAAAACATATATAACTAACTTTTAATTCTCCCATTTATAATGTAATAAGATTCAGGGCATATCACAGTAGCATGAAATAACTATAACGGTTCCTTACATTCTTTAGATAAACCACAGGTATACCACACTGCATAAGATCCTGGCTCCTATATTCAACAATAGGAGCTAGGATCGTAACAGAGGGTATAAAGATGCATTCTCTTAAAATGTTGTAACTGGGTTTTCCTCTTCTACAGCGGATTTCAGAGCAGTTCACAGCAATGTTCCGGCGGAAAGCCTTCCTGCATTGGTACACGGGGGAGGGTATGGACGAGATGGAATTTACCGAGGCAGAGTCCAACATGAATGACCTGGTGTCAGAGTATCAGCAGTATCAAGAGGCATCAGCGGAGGATGAGGAATACGTTGATGAGGAGCCATCTGAAGAGGAAACCACGCATGCAGAGGAGGCTCAAGACGAAGCATAGATAGTGTAATATTACATTTAAAGACTTGAAACCTGTGTGTACAGTAAAGTGCCAAAAGACAGTGTACTGAAGTGGTTAGTTTAATTTATTGAAGAACTTCCAATATGATAATGTGAAGTGAATAATGTTATTGTTATCTTTATTTTCAACAAGTCATTGCACAACTGCAATGTAAATTGTACCTTTACCTCCAGTCATACAAGTACAATATTCAAAGTGTTGACTACAAGTAATATGGTGGCATTAAAAGTGAACTGAATATGGATTTAAATACATCTTAAGTGTCTAAATTGCAATGTCAGTAAAGTTGCAATATTTTTGTTTATATCCGTTTAGTTATTTCATTAACAGTAATAGTTTACTCTAGTCGGTAGACATACGCATCAAACCAAATTAAATTTTCCCCCATTCATTATTTACATTTTTGTTTTGGATTAACTAGACTTTTTAGCAATATTTTGGTAAGCCACAAAAGTTATTGATAAATGCTCATTTGCACATTTAATGATTTAAAATTTAGTAGCAAGTGTGAAATTCTCAAGTGGTTATATCAAAAATATAATTCCTGGAGTAAATTTCAAAATAAAATACTCTTATTAAGAGCAGTGGAGCAATATTTCTTACTTTGCTGAGAAGTCTTAATTTATTTTACTTTTGAGGAAAGACAAGTAGCCAATATGTTTTTGGAGTAGAGCCGTGCGACAGCTGACTCTGATTGAGACTGTTTGAGGTCTCAGTGCTTAGTTTTTGCTCTTTCAGCTGGAATTATTTTGTTAAATTTGGAATAAAAATACTTTAAAGGTCAGTGTTTATTTTTCCAAGTGCCTGCTTTTGTGAATGAGCAGATATAATACAAGGAAGTTGCAGACATACTTGATAGTCAATGCTCGTCCTATTCCTCTCTTCTGGTATAAACATGGGGCTGTGTGAAGCATGGGTCCCTGCAGGTATGGCTGGGGGTAAAGGCTTCAGGGCCTTAACAAGGGGCTGTAGTGTCTGCAGGAGTGACGGGGAGGATCATTTGGGTTATGGGGGTTATAATGATATAGATTGATTTTTTATTCAGGTAAAGGTATATACATAGTTACAATGTTGGATTTGAAGATAGAGATAGTACATACAATACCTAAAGCCACTAGTATGCATAGCGTTTCGGGCAAGGTGATAGGGAAAAAACCCACTTGCCTTAAAGTATAAATTGTGTTGAAAAAAATAAAATAAGTTGGGGGGGGGGGGGGAACAAGGCAAGAGAATAGCAATTATACAAGTTTGTTAACAAACAGCATTGATTACAATAGTAAGACATGGGTTGACATTTAGGGGTAAGGTAGGTTACATGGAGTTAATTAGGTAGTTTTTATTTTTTATCTTAAACTAGTTGAGAGAGGTACAGGCTTTGACATAATTGGGAAAGTCATTCCACATGGGTCCTTTTATTTGCAGAGCATTTCTAGTTTAAGTCGTACTCTGGATATCAAATAGGTATTTGTTTCTGGGATGGTGCCCATGGGTTCTGTTACAACCTTCTAAGAAGCTTTGCTGGAGTGTGATGCCCCATGAGACAGTCCTCTGCCCTTTTGTGGCCTTATGCTCCTGCTGCTCTCACAAATTGTGCTGGATAACTTTTCCTTTTCTTTGTTTTCATTCCCTCCCCCCTTCTCCTTTCTAATTGTCATTTCCCGCTGGCCTTTTGCCTGTTTTGATCATTCTTTCGGCCTTCTTTTGTTTTGACGCCCGGTTATTTGAGGAGGCATACTCTTGCACCCATAGAGCTGTAGTACCCAACGTCTCAAGTGAGGGGACCCTTTTATTGTCAATCCTTTCGTCATTGAACCCGATCTCGATGGACTGACGGTTCTTAAGGTGGTGTTTGTGGGGCATATACTCGTGACGTACCCCTGGGGAGGCCCTGGCAAGATCGGCAGTAAGTCTTGTTGGGTGTCCTGCCACTAATTGTGGTTCCGTGGTGGGTATGGGGGCACATTCGTGAACGAAATCTTACCTCTCGTTTTCATTTAGATAAATGCCATTCCTCTTATAACTTCTCAGGCTCGTGGGGTGGACGACCAAGCCCCCGAGTCGAACTGTATTGGAAGACCAGGCTCTGTAGCACCCACTACATTGGGCCCAGATCTAGCTCCTCCTTTGACCCTTCTGACTACTCCCCTCAGCTCCTCCTCCCTCCTCTGTGGTTGGGTCGAGCCATACGCACCCAGCGGTGACCACCTTGTTCCCTGGGGCGGCTCAGTTTTTCCATTGTGACTACTGCACCTTTTTAACCCCTTTCTCTCTAGGGGTTCTCGACGCCATCACAGCCGTACTCGCATGATCCCTTCCCATGCTAATACGTACCAAGCCTTGTTTGGTCCTGCTTCGTTGGCTGAATACTTTGATCTCCCTCTTGATTCTACACCTCCTGACGATTTCTCACTCTATAAACACCTTGTTGATTTGGTGGATGCCTCTATTACTTTTAACCCTCACTCGTTGAGGTACACGTGTCGTCACTGCTCCTTCACCGGATACAGCTACCCGTTCAGCCGCATTGTCCTGTATTGGGGAAACCCCATGTTCGGGTCTCCAAAAACAGTTAAATGCCAGTGTTGGCACTGTTCTCCCGCACCATATTGCAACTGGTGTTAGGGACCTTAAAGACTGCCACCAGGATATTAAACATGTCCTCGAAGCCCAAGGCCATCCTGTCCTCCAGGTAGACACATTCACTCGACCCCCTCGTGGTCGTCGCCGTCAGCCCCTTCAAGTTGTGAAAATCACCTTCGATAGTAGGACCCTTCTGCTCTCTATAATTCTTGCTGGTGCCAGATGCTCCGTTCAAGAGTACATTCCCTCTCCTAGACTTTGCAATAAGTGCTGGAAGTTCGGGCATGGTGTCCTCAAATGCTAAAGTACTGTGTATTTATGCCCCCATGTGGGGCCGATGATCACTCTAAATCCGATTGCACTTCTCCCCAGGCTCGCTGCCTCAATTGCTGTGAGGCCCACCCTACCTTCTCCCGCTCATGTATACACTACAAACTTGAAGCCGTCCTTAACTTGAAACACCGGGATCGTCTACCTTTTACTGAAGCTAGACGCCAATTTCGCCGTCTCGCCCCTTTCACTGGCATATCCTACGCTCGTGTGTTGCGTTCCACCTCTCCTCGTCTTTCCCACCTTACTCAGTCTCACGATTGATAAAGATTAAGCCACCCAAAAGGTGGCACGGGCATGAATAGCCCGTAAAAAGTCTCTCTCCTCTCCCACTCACACTCTGTCCTCTCCCACTCACCGCCTGCGTATCAAGTCCCTTGATAACATCCTCCGTAAATCTGCTTTCTTTGACATCACTCTCCTTACGTAATCACCAAGAGGCATCAAGCCAGGGAGAAGTTTTCAGACCCATCTGTGACGCAGCCCAGTCAATGATGTTGACCAGACCACACACTAGAAAGTGAAGGGACGACGACGTTTCGGTCCGTCCTGGACCATTCTCAAGTCGATTGTTGATCCTGGACCTGGACCATTCACAATTGACTTGAGAATGGTCCAGGACGGACCGAAACGTCGTCGTCCCTTCACTTTCTAGTGTGTGGTCTGGTCAACGTGGTTCAGCCACGTTATTGTGACTCCTCGTCTGCAGTCAATGATTCCTATATATCACTTAGAATGTCAGTAAGAGAGCAATAACACATACATAATAGTCAGAGCGGCGTCAGAGAGGTGAGATCGAGCAAGGAGTACGTCGAGGGACCAGGCGGACCATACAGGATGTTCGGAAAGGACAATTTCTGATTATTTTGAAAATCGGGACATTTTACACCTGAACATCAGATGTAGGGGGAATTATCGGGGAAAAGCGCTAGGCCATTAAGACTACAGCACTGGGAAGGGGTCAGGATATAATTTGGGATGGGACGGGGGGGAAGGAATGGTGCCCAACCACTTGGACGGTAGGGGATCAAACCCCGACCTGCATGAAGCGAAGCCGTCGCTCTACCGTCCACCGCAAGTGATTTTGGAAACATGAGGTGTAAATATAGCGTCGTTGATCAGGATAATGATGGGGCATAACAATGGATTAATCTAATTACTCTTGCTCAAGAGGTAAACAACTTCTGGCCATAACAAAAGAGGCTCTTTGAAAGACTTTAATCTCTCGCTCACCCCCACTAGCGAGGCCACGGCGGCGGCTTCACTACCTCATTACAAGATATTGACAAAGTCTCTACAATACGATGTTAGGAAAACTCTACAGTATAATGTTAGGGAAAACTCTACAGTATAATGTTAGGGAAAACTCTACAGTATAGTGTTAGGGAAAACTCTACAGTATAATGTTAGGGAAAACTCTACAGTATAGTGTTAGGGAAAACTCTACAGTATAATGTTAGGGAAAACTCTACAGTATAATGTTAGGGAAAACTCTACAGTATAGTGTTAGGGAAAACTCTACAGTATAGTGTTAGGGAAAACTCTACAGTATAATGTTAGGGAAAACTCTACAGTATAGTGTTAGGGAAACTCTACAGTATAGTGTTAGGGAAACTCTACAGTATAGTGTTAGGGAAAACTCTACAGTATAGTGTTAGGGAAACTCTACAGTATAGTGTTAGGGAAACTCTACAGTATAGTGTTAGGGAAAACTCTACAGTATAGTGTTAGGGAAACTCTACAGTATAGTGTTAGGGAAACTCTACAGTATAGTGTTAGGGAAACTCTACAGTATAGTGTTAGGGAAAACTCTACAGTATAGTGTTAGGGAAACTCTACAGTATAGTGTTAGGGAAAACTCTACAGTATAGTGTTAGGGAAACTCTACAGTATAGTGTTAGGGAAACTCTACAGTATAGTGTTAGGGAAAACTCTACAGTATAGTGTTAGGGAAACTCTACAGTATAGTGTTAGGGAAACTCTACAGTATAGTGTTAGGGGAAACTCTACAGTATAGTGTTAGGGAAAACTCTACAGTATAGTGTTAGGGAAACTCTACAGTATAGTGTTAGGGAAACTCTACAGTATAGTGTTAGGGAAAACTCTACAGTATAGTGTTAGGGAAACTCTACAGTATAGTGTTAGGGAAACTCTACAGTATAGTGTTAGGGAAAACTCTACAGTATAGTGTTAGGGAAACTCTACAGTATAGTGTTAGGGAAACTCTACAGTATAGTGTTAGGGGAAACTCTACAGTATAATGTTAGGGAAAACTCTACAGTATAGTGTTAGGGAAAACTCTACAGTATAGTGTTAGGGAAAACTCTACAGTATAATGTTTGGAAATGTTCCGCAGTATAATGTGTAGAAAATGGATATGTTGTAGCAGGAAGGAAGACAGCCGCAGCAAGAGTAACTGCGAGGTGGTGTGTGTTGTCATGACAATGACAGCTGGTGACTACATGACCGCACAGTTAAGACAACATCAACTGTGTACCGTGAGGACGGTGAGGTATGGTGTAGTACTGGTTCACGACACTGGCACTGTGTACACAGAGGTTGTACAGAGTTTACCAACATTGTGAATGAGTGTAAACCGCTCATTATTCTTGTAAATACAAATTTACGTAAGTTGATATGGCCGCTCACATGTATGAGAGGAGACTCCTAAACTTTTACATCCAGCTGGAAAAAAAATCACCAGGGCAATTAGAGGTACCTTTGACACTAGCGTATTAGTGGCCTTCAGGTAAATTCAGGCAAAACAAATATTAAATAGGAAGTTAGACACTGGAGTATTGTACAAAACCGTCCACTTGGGAAGGTAGGGGGGGGGGTACCGTATTGCCAAATCGTACACAACACTTTT